AATTCCACACAGAGGATTCTTCCTATAGTTTGTTTGGTATTTTAACTTGTTCAGGTTCTTTAATGTCTTCAATTTGCCTGGATACACTATGACACTATTTATCTAATAGTGCGGACGTATCTTTAATTATTGCCGTCCCTAACTCTTACAATTGATCGATTTTCCCTAATGCCGCCATTATTTTCATTTGACCAATTCTTAAGGTCATTCATTATGCATCTTCTCAGAAGATTTTTGATAGCAGAGAAATGCCTTAGTATTCGGCTATAACCAAAAATCTAAACTTCAACTCTCATCATTTTCTTCCAATACACTTCTTTTTTTTTTTTTTTTGTATTCTACTTTAATTTTCCAAACTTAGTCCCTATTGGACCCTTCCTAAATTAATACCCCAATCGGCAACTGATCCTTTGCGGATCAAGTTTTCATCGATCTTTTCTCAAGTGAATAGGGCCCCAACTCGCCCTACCCCATCCTAACCAACCTTACTAATGTTAGGTCTGTTTTTCGAATTTGACAAAAATAAAATCTTAACAATATTACTGAAGTACCTATACTAATTATGGGGTCTAACAAAACTCCTAAGTATGTTTTTTTTTTTTTTTTTTTTTTTTTTTTAAGTCATATGATCTTGAGGACATGAATATCCGGGAGGTCATATAACATTAAGATGTTAAAAAAAGAATATTAATATCTATATACGTTTACTAATCCAACTCGATTTCCACAGGTGATATAAGAACACCATTATCATCCACAAGTCTTCGGTCATACCCAGGGTCAATGCCGGTTTGTAAAGTCATTAACTGCCGTGCTTCACTTTGTTGTACCTCATCTTGCATCTGATTTTGCAAGATGAGTAATTCATTTGGGTCGTTGGCAATTAAAGGATAGCCACAAAAATCTACCCAATATACGGCCTCCCTTAAATTGAGCTCCCGGGCTGCTATATGGTCATTAAGGGTGGGGTGGTTGTAAAAGAAGAACTCATTTTCGAAGCGCCGAGTTTTTCCCGCAAAGGCCAACTTTTGGCGCCTTCTAGGAGTTAATTTAGTAAAGAGGAAGACGGGTATATATATATAGGCATGTCCATATTTACTGCCTGTTCATCTTTTTCAATACCAATTCCTTCTGCACCGATACCAATGGCTTGTGGCTCAGAGGTTTCTTCCTGTTCATTTTCTGGCCATTTGATAAATTCATCCATCATTGCATCCTCTTGTTTTACTTGGTCTGCAAGACTCTTATTAACCTTCCACTCTTCGGTCAAAGTTTCTTCCTCCGGGGTGGTTAGACTTGTCGATCCACTGCTTATTACAACTTCTATTTGGGACTCATCGTCATCTGACGTTTCCCATTGTGAAGAAAAAGAATAATTACCATCGGATGATCCTTCATCACCCTCATACTTGGGGTCATTTTCTTCCTCCGAGGCTTCTATGACTTCTTCTGGTGTAAGGGGCCAAGGAACATTTTTTTTTGGGCTCCCATTCCATCCGGGTTACATCAGAGAAGCTTTCTTCACCCTGGATGGCCCTTAAATTGTCCACTAAGTATACTTCGTCCTGGGAAAGTGACATTTCAGCTCCTTTTCCATTCTCATATTCCCACCACTGTTGGGCAATATCACTATGGCCTTCCCATAACAATCTATGGCCTGATTCTACTTCGAAATCATGTAATAATTGTTCATACCCTTGTTCCCGCCGATTCATGTCCACTACTTCACTCTCATCCACCTCTCACGTATTCCATTGTTCCTCTATACTATCAGTCCTTTCATAATCCATCTCTTCTACCTCAGATTCATAATCCCCTTCATCCTCATAGTTCTCTTCATAATCTTCATTTTCAGAGGACCATTCATCTTCACTATCTTCTATATATATAACATCAACTTTAAAAACCTCCCTAGCTTCTTCTTGCCGGTTTTCTTTTTCATTATCATTTATTTAGGGCGGACTAATATTGTTCAGCATTATATCAACACGGGTTCCGCATCTCCTATCAAGCAGGCGGCCTATCAATTAGCTCCTAGTGAGCAGGAGTTTTTACAAGAAGAGGTTCGAAAAATGTTGAATACGGGATTAATAAGGGAGTCCTATAGCCCATGGTCATCTCCAGTGGTGTTAGTCACCAAGAAGAATGGAAAATTACAGGTCTGTATTGATTATCGGAAAATCAATACAGTAACGAAGAAGGACGCCTATCCTATTCCAAGAATAGATGATATGCTGGAGATATTCGGGAATGCCTCTTGGTTCTCCAGTTTAGACTTGGCCAGTGGGTACTGGCAAGTCTCCATAGCCGAACAAGACAGGGAAAAGATGGCCTTTGTCACCAAGTTCGGGGTGTATGAGTTTAATGTTATGCCTTTCGGTCTCTGTAACGCCCCGGCTACGTTTCAGCGGCTGATGAACCATGTGCTAAAGGAGTATATTGGGCAATTTGTTGCCATCTACCTAGATGACATTACTGTCTACTCTAGAACTTTCTGGGAACACATGGAACATGTGGAAAGGGTCTTTATCAAGCTTCAGGAGGCACGGTTAAAATTAAATAGTGACAAATGTTACCTTCTTAGAAGGTCGTTAAAGTTTCTAGGCCATGAAATTACTAGGGATGGAATTAGGCCGGATAATGAAAAGGTCATCAAAGTCCGAGAATACCCGGCACCGAAGACTCTGCGCCAATTGAGAGGATTTTTGGGTCTATCATCCTACTATAGGCGGTTTATTAAGGGTTTTGCCTCTCTTGCTCAACTCTTGCATCACCTACTTCGGAAAGACGTGCCATATGATTGGGGCAAGCCTCAACATAAGGCGTTTGAAACATTGAAGCACCATTTGACTACTGCCCCAATTTTACAGTACCCAAATTTTGAGAAGACATTCTACTTACACACGGATGCTTCAGGGATAGGTCTCGGGGCCGTGTTGTTCCAAAAAGATGAAAAAAATAGGGAGCACGTGATTGCATATGCTAGCCGAAGTTTAAGTCGTGCCGAAAAAAACTACTCTACCACTGAGTTGGAGTGCCTGGTGGTAATTTGGGGAATTGAGTATTTCCACCATTATTTAGGCATTAAGCCTTTTGTAGTAATCACGAACCATGCCGCTCTTAAATGGTTGGAGACATCGAAATTGAAAGAAAGAAGAGCAAGGTGGATCCTCCGGCTCCAATCTTACATTTTTAAAATTATACATAGGAGTGGTCGGGTGCACTCTAATGTAGATGCACTGTCTCTCCGAAATAAATGATAATGAAAAAGAAAACCAGCAAGAAGAAGCTAGAGAGGTTTTTAAAGTTGATGTTATATATATAGAAGATAGTAAAGATGAGTAGTACTCTGAAAATGAAGATTATGAAGAGAACTATGAGGATGAAGCAGATTATGAATCTGATGTAGAAGAGATGGATTATGAAAGGACTGATAGTATAGAGGAACAATGGAATATTTGGGAGGTAGATGAGAGTGAAGTAGTAGACATGAATCGGCGGAAACAAGGGTATGAACAATTATTACATGATTTCGAAGTAGAATCAGGCCGTAGATTGTTATGGGAAGTCCATAGTGATATTGCCCAACAGTGGTGGGAATATAAGAATGAAAAAGGAGCTGAAATGTCACTTTTCCAGGACGAAGTATACTTAGTGGACGATTTAAGGGCCATCCAGGGTGAAGAAAGCTTCTCTGATGTAACCCGGATGGAATGGGAGCCCAAAAAAAATGTTCTCTGGCCTCTTACACCTGAGGAAGTTATAGAAACCTCGGAAGAAGAAAATGGCTCCAAGAATGAGGATGATGAAGAATCATCTGATAGTAATTGTCTGTCTTCACAATGGGAAACATCAGATGATGATGATGAGTCCCAAGTAGAAGTTGTGATAGACAGTGGATCAACAAGTCTAACTACCCCGGAGGAAGAAAGCTCGACCGAAGAATGGAAAGTTAATAAAAGCCTTGCTGACCAAGTAAAACAAGAGGATGCAATGATGGATGAATTTATCAAATGGCCAGAAAATGAACAGGAAGAAACCCCTGAGCCACAGGCCATTGATATTGGCGCAGAAGGAATTGGTATTGAAAAAGATAAACAGGCAGTAAATATGGACATGCCTATATATATACCCATCTTTCTCTTTACTAAATTAACTCCTAGAAGGCGCCAAAAGTTAGCCTTTGCGGGAAAAACTCAGCACTTCGAAAATGAGTTCTTTCTCTACGACCACCCTACCCTTAATGACCATATAGCAGCCCAGGAGCTCAATTTAAGGGAGGCCATATATTGGGTAGATTTTTGTGGCTATCCTTTAATTGCCAACGACCCAAATGAATTACTAATCTTGCAAAAATAGTATGCAAGATAAGGTACGACAAAGTGAAGCCCGGCAGTTAATGACAAAGACTTGCAGATGATAATGGTGTTCTTATCTTACTTGTGAAAATCGAGTTGGATTAGTAAATGCATATAAATACCAATATCCTTTTTCTTTTAATATCTTAATGTTATATGACCTCCCGGACATTCATGTTCTCGGGATCATATGACCAAGAGAAAGAAAAAAAAAAAAAAAAAAACATACTTAGGAATATTTGTTAGATCCCATAGTAAAAATAGGTACTTTAGTAACACTATCTGAATTTTATTTAGTTTTTCCGAATCACAGACCTAACATTAGTAAGGTTGGTTAGGATGGGGTAGGGCAAGTTGGGGCCCTATTCACTTGAGAAAAGATCAATGAAAACTTGATCCGCAAAGGATCAGTTGCCGATTGGGGTATTAAATTAGGAAGGGTCCAATAGGGACTAAGTTTGGAAAATTAAAATAGAATGCAAAAAAAAAAAAAAAAAAAAGTGTATTAGAAGAAAATGATGAGAGTTGAAGTTTAGATTTTTGGTTATAGCTGAATGCTAAGGCATTTTTCTGCTATCAAAAATCTTTTGAGAAGATGCATAATGAATGACCCTAAGAATTGGTCAAATGAAAATAATAGCGGTATCAGGGAAAATCGTCAATTGTAAGAGTTAGGGACGGCAATAATTAAAGATACGTCTGCACTATTAGATAAATAGTGTCATAATGTATCCAAGCAAATTGAAGACATTAAAGAACCTGAACAAGTTAAAATACCAAACAAACTATAGGAAGAATCCTCTGTGTGGAATT